TTTGTACAATTCCACGGACCCCTATCAGAAATAATAGAGGAAAATAAAAAAGTGTAATTTACATAAAAAGAAAAGGTTTATTAGTAGATTTATTACACGTAGACTAGTAAATTAGTGAGAAGGATCGTGCTGTTTAGCCTCAATGAGAACGTTAAATTGTGGGGTTATCTTCGACAAGGCAAGGCGCATATCAACTACGTTCAATCGGTTGCGACTTTTTGTTTTTATTGAGACCAGAACCGAGAACCCTGCCCCGGCAAAGGTACGTAATAGCAAATGGTATCAGAACGGACATAGCTCGCTTAACAAGAAGAGGGTAAGCTTGACGTAAAGAACATCAAAACTCGCCTAGATCTTTTGCATGAAATTCAGCTTTCAAAACTTCTATTGATCTCATGTCAATTAAGTCATCTTTAATAAGATCTTCATCGCTGATATTATCCTTGTCGATTATAAATGGACTCCGCACCCACGTTTCATTTTCAAGCGATTCTAAGTTAAACTAGCCTTCAAAAGAAGTTTGCAATGTATCCGAATGCTTAGACACCTCTTTCTGTAGCATTATTGATATCGTGTTGCCGTCACATTGTGTTATTAACTCTTCAAACATCGGAAAATTTGCAAAGTTATCAAATTCCACCCTCCTTATCCAAAGTGGCAGTTTACATATGAAACCTTTCAACCGTTCAGATGCATCCACGATGGTCACCGCAGAGCCCTGAAAAGACAAGTTAATTTCATTCAATTGAGTAAATATATCTGCCAAATACGCCAAATATCTGCCAAATATCTGCGCAAATCTTCACTCTCAATATATTCAGAAAGTGAATTTCGTTTATCTTTTAGAAAAATTAACACTTCTGTCCTCAACACTTCTGTCCCTTTGACAGCCAACGAACTTCTGTGTACTAAAGGAGTACTTTATAATCTGATCCCATTTCTTGACAAAGTCTTTTAAACAGGCGGTGACGCGGTGGTCTAAGGCTCTTGCTCTGATGAAGTTAGTTATTTTGACACATGTAGACATAACTTCCTTCAGAAATGTAGGTAAAGTCCGTGAAGTCAAGACATGTCGATGTAAGACACAATGAGTTATTATGACATGAGGAATCACTTTCTTGACCAAAGCCGCGAAACCAAACGTATTTCCAAGCATTGCGAGAGCTCCATCGGTGCAGATACTACCAAGTTTAGTCTTCCAATCTATATGTTGTTCGTTGAAAAACCATTTTGTCATTTAAAAAACATCTGAAGATTTTGTAGTCTCCAAAAGTGAATTGCAAAAAAGAAACTCTTCTTTAATACTACGTGTGTCTTGTACGTAACGGACAAATACCAAGAGTTATCTAGATTGTGATACATCGATGATTTCATCCAATTGAATGCTGAATGGAAACAGTGAAGCAATTAATTCTTCAACAACTTGTAAAACATTTGACGACATTTCAACAATATTTACAGTTAACTGACGTAATGCGGAGCGCGGAGCCCCTGATACACATGCTATGGGCCCCTAAGGGATCCGTGGACCCCACTTTAAGAAACCCTGACCTAGACCGTTATTCAGAAGCTAAAAACCTATCGATGAAAATATGTATGAAAACAAGGTTGGTACAGTTTCAAGTTTATTATAGTGATTTTCTTAGCCGCGTATTGTACAGATCGTTACCCAGTGTTGCCACAAGCTTATTTTTCATCGGGATAGATTATCACGAGATAACGGGGTTAAATTGTTTTACAAAGAGGTAGATCTACCCCGAATGGTGTATCTGTGGCAACACTGCCGCTATCACTTTTCCTCTCGCTAGCTCGCGCGGCACGGCCATTCCGCGTGAATCTCGCGACCGTCATTCAAGGCCGTGTGTCACTAAATAATGAAGTTTCACTTTAAAAACACCTAAGTTGAACCTTAAAAATATACAGGGTGGTCCGAATTGTATTCGGAAAAAATCGGCAGTTATTCTGCAGATAAAAATAAGTAAAAAAGCTCGTATAAATTATGCCCTAAAATGCTTTTCTTTTTACTTTATGTCCTAAAAAGTTTCATTTTTATTTCGATTTATTCCAAATAATTTCTGAGCTTACTCATATCTCTTACTTATATCTGCATGAAAATTGGTGTCTGAGTAAATAGATTACTAATACTTAAAGAGGGCGCCACCAACATATTTTTAGCTGTTTTGAAGAGTAATAAATTTTTGTGCGTACCTGTATTATACTACTGAGTTTAAAAGTATACATTTTCGATATTTTCTAAGGACTTCTAAAGGTCTCTTGGTAAAAATTGTTATGCGTAACCCTTTTCAAGATATTTGGGATGGAAATAAGCAATGCATGTCATTATTAACAAAAATAAATATGTTGACTGGATATTGATCAATAATGAGTCTCAAATAATCAATTTGAAATATTTTTGTGCCAAAGATTCAACAAAAACTACTGAAAAATTCATGATTAGCTTAAAAAAAATAAAAAGATCCCAAATTTGTCATGTCAATCAAATAACTATCTAGTCAACATGTTTATTTTTTTGTCAATAATGACATGCATTGACTATTCCCATTCCAAATATCTCAAAAGCGGTTGCTCGTAGCGATTTTTACCAAGAGACATTTTTTACGTAGAAGGTTACGGAAATGTATATATATTTTACTCAGTAGTTTTATACAGGTACGGACGAAAAGTTATTACTCCTTAGATTAGTTAAAAAACATATAGGTGGTAGGAGTCATATTGATATCGAAATCAAATTTCTCATGTCAAAAAATGCTCAGACATGATTTTTTATCGAAATATCGAGATTACTTCAGAAATTATTTGAAAAAAAAAACGAAATAAAAATGAAACGTCTATAGTGTGACCAACGGATCTGTAGCTACGGGGTATCGGCAGGGGAACGCAGTTGTAAACAAAACACGCCCAATTTCATTCATAAAATAGGCATGGGTGTTATATGAAAATAATGTGTATCATAAATATAATACTCAGATTAATATTTTTTTTTCAAAAAACTTTATGCTGTTTGAATCGTTACTGTTGAGTTAGCAGATAAACACTAGAAGCTTTTATTAAAGCTCCCTTAAATATTTTGAATCATTTTATTATTGTGTTGTTAATATAATAGAAGAAAAATTACAGCTGGGGGTTGGAACCTTTGGTGTTACACAGCAAAATAAAACACTAAATCAGTACAATACACCAAAACACTTTTAATTTTACACTGGACGCACGTTTCGCTAACCATGTCTGCCATCAGCAGATGATCAAGACTGAGTCTTGAGGTATATTTATTTATATATCTGTACTAACTATATTTTTTTCTATAATACATAATTTTAGATATAACTATTTCCAGCAAAAAAATCTTGAAAATAGTTAACTTTGGAAGCGCAAACAAAACATAATTTTACTCACCAATAGATCCAATATTGCCTATTACACCAGATATGGTATCGCTCCGCCAGCAGTTTTTAAAGGTTAGGTCATTATCTACCCATATGTTTCATCCAAATAGATAATACTTGGCTATATTCTCGAATTTCGCGTATATATTTATATCTCTCTCTGCAATATAATGGGCCGCTCCATTAATATTTATCAGTTATTTTGACATTTACGCCAAAAAAATTCATTTGATTTTAATAACCCCCTAAGCATTTCCCTGCAAAAGGAAAATTCGATTCTTCCTGCAATTTTTGCAAAAGCTTTCTAATTGTGGGGACGAGTTTGAAGAAATATCCGCTCAAATTTACGTTTAAGCGGCAACTTAAGCGAACTCTCTGTAGCTTCTTCATCGCAAACCCTATTATGAACACAAGGAAATAAACCAAATGAGATCAAACTTGATATTAATAATTAAAAACTACGAACGAAAAACATTATAACAAGATAACAAAACAATAAAACACAACTTAACTATCAACTATACGAAAAATATAGGAATAAAGTTTAGGATAACCGGTATAAAATAATGAAATAAAGCAATAATGATCAAAAAATGACACCGCCACTGGATATTTCAATAGTATTCAATATTCCTACTCTTTTCAGAAGAGACCGTGAAGTTGGGGATAAAGCAAGCGAATAGGAAAGGCGTAAAAGCCATGGCAACCGCCTGGTAACAAATCCTGTGACGTACTCTCGCCAATCATGTTCGATGAATAGGCGGCCATGCGCGGCGATGCCGGTTTGCCAATGATATCGTTGAAAAATCTTCAACTTTCATAATAAGCAGATTATACAGAATGAAAGAAATAAGTTATTAAATAAAACATATCGAACAATATGAACTGCGTTAAAATTCCTTAGTAATATACGTCAGAATATATGCTAAACACATTATATATAATAAAAATATATTAAATTTATAGTTTATGTCTGGCAATTTTGCAATTTTATAGATAAACGTGGCAATATCGATTTTTTTTTCTCGCATTCCTTCCGTAGCTTCAGATCCGCTGGTGAAACAGTACACCCTCTATGTCCGGAACGAAGCATTTTAGGACATAAATTTATACGAACCTTTTTACTTACTTTTATCTGCAGAACATGCTGCTGAAGTTTCCTGAATACAATTCGGACCATCCTGTATACAAAAATATGAGCTACGAAGTATATATCACAGACAGAACAAAATGCATCCTAATCTATATTCTGATAATCTAACTAGACATTGAACAAAATTAACGTTTGTGTTCTTTTTTTTTGTAAAATGTAAGTAGTTAAAAAAATAACTTTTAAGATAAAATCTACAGGATGCATCTAAATAACTTGATGTGCCGGTAATTTCAATATGAATTTTCCTTTTTGAAGTAAATGTCAGCCCATTTTTTCTTTAACAAATATATCATTATTTAATTAAAAACCTCACTAAATTCGAAATTTTAATCTTTTTGAACACTGATTTATATACATGCATGAGAATTCTAAATAAGGGAATTGCTATTACAGCTAATGGATATAAAAAAAAACATACATGCAATTTTTTAATTTATGTTTTATTTCAAAAATCGTTTAAGCAGTGTGGTCATAACCTCAAAAGTAAATAAGTCAGTGTTAAAACCCTACTAACAATTTTGAATAATATTTAATCGGTAAAAGTTCAATGCAAATTTATACAAGCGCATATAAGATTGATGTACTACACCTAACACAATACAAAATTAGGTCTATTTGAATACATACAAATAAAAAAAAAAGAAACATGAAACAGTGTATTTACAAAATATAATAATATAAGAAAGAATGTGATTGAGAGATAAAAATGTTTTGGAGATAGAAATATAATGATATTAAGTAATAGTTCAGAAATTGACTTGCTCTGTGTGATATTCTTGTCTTCTTACCCAAACTACTGGTATGACAGGTACCAAATAGGTGGGTCTTGGTTGTGCAGGGGACGGATGATCACTAATGCTTACCTATAACAAGCCAGAAAAAAATATGTTAATAAAAATGTAATCAACAAAAAAAATACATAAAATAAATATCAAAATTAAACAATTACGTACAAGCAGAGATCATAAAGAATATAACCGATACCAAATAAACTTTTAGATACGTCATCGAAGGCGCATTTATTAAATTAATTGGTGTCAACACATATTCGGCACCGGGCTGACTAACCGGAATTTAAATTTCCCGCTGGGAAATCAGGTGGTAGCCCTGAAAAAAATTAAAATTTAAAAAAAAATCATCCATTTACTTTTAGTGTATTGCCATTTTCACCAATCGTGTAACTTTTTTATTTATAAAGATTTTCACATACTGTCTGCGAAGAAAACATAGCAGAAATATGTTTTGAAAATTTCTAATGGATTTCGAGATATCGATTTTTGATTTAAGAGTTCTAATAGCGCGACCACTGTCGAACACGAACTCAATTCCACTTATTTTTACCAAAAGTACAAGTGTTTCTAACTTGCACTTAGAAATTTACAAGCTATAGGAAAAATTACAACGACTCGTTAATAAATAAACAAATAATGTATCACTAGACGTAATTAAATCGTGAAGCTGAATATATGATGTACACTATCTATAATTTTAAGTACTGATTTGGTACTGATTGGGACGACCGGTCGACCGCGACGAATCTGCTATATCCGCTTCCACGTCTCTTGCAATGTGCACAGTTTCTCGGTTTATTTCATACGTTTGGCAACGTTTTTACTGTTCTCTCTTTGTTCAATACATTATAAAAGCATTGTACTCTTCTTACATACGGAAATCTCGACCCAAGACCTCTTAGTATATTATTCTGTCTAATAAAATAATTCTCATAACCTTCAGCAATAAAATATGAAAAAACTACTGACAAAGAAATAAAAAACACAATTTTATTTATTTCTTTAACTATAACACTACAAAAGATCACTTTGTTATACTCTTCAGTTAAACACTTGCGGGCGAGATAAGAGACCCCGAACAATAATTTAAAATTAGCCTTTTTTCGTCAGGCACGAATAAAAAAGATGGTGGCAGAGGTCACAGTCCGGCCACGTCCATTAATCTTTCCGAGATATTTACGAAATATCCGATATCGGAGCATGTTTTTGATCGGCGGGGTAGTTTTTGCCATCGAAACGTAGCAAAGGCCCAAGCGCAAGACGTTAGCAGATACGCCCTTATTTAATTCTGGGGATGATTAATTTGATCCGCTACTGTTTTTCTTTAATTTTTTTAATAAGTAAAAATTGAGAAGATTATCCGTTCTACAGCAGCAGTCCGATTGCTTCAGTGAGACTGACAGGTAAGAGGACGTGTTGATAAGTAGTTGCAATATTATGAAAAATTTTCTACTTGGATTGCTAATTACTAGAAAAGAAATTCCCCCAGCAAATAAAAGTTCTAGTAATTTGTTCCTTGCAACAATTTCCTGTCAATTTTTTTCTAGAATCTTTTTAATAGCAATTTTTTCCTAGTAACTTTTCTTTAGTATTTTTTTGAGTACCTAATTATTATCCTTGTGATTTTTTCCTAGGATTTTTTTCTAGCAATTTTTTTCTTAGCCATTTTTCCTAGTAATTTTCCCCAGCAATTTTTTCTTGACATTTTTTCCTACTCTACTTGGATTGCTAAAAGTTGCCAAGAAAAAAAATGCTAGGAAGAAAGTTGCCAGGAAAGAATTGCTAGAAAAAAATGCTAGGCAAAGAATTACTGGGAAAAACTTACTAGAAAAAAAATACTAAGAAGAATGCTAAAAAAATCGCCAGAAAAAATTGCTAGGCGGAAAATGATAAGAAAAATGCTAGAAAGAAATTGCTAGGAAAAATTGTTAAAAAAATTACTAGAAAAAAATTTGGCAAAAAAAAATTGCTCGAAAAATTGCTAGAAAAAATGCTAGGCTAAGAATTACTGAGAAAAAATCACTAGAAAAAATTGCCTAGAAAAAATATCTAGGTAAAAAAATTGTTGGGAAAAAATTGCTAGGAAAGAGTACTGGGAAAAAATTGCTAAAAAATCCTTAGGAAAAATTGTCTAGAAAGAATATCTAGGCAAAAAAATGCTAAAAAAATTGTTGGAAAAAAATTGCTAGGAAAGAGTACTTGAAGAAAAAAATTGCTAAAAAAAATCACTCGGAAAATTTGCCTAGAAAGAATATCTATGCAAAAAAAATGCTAAAAAAATTGGGAAAAAATGGCTAGGAAACAGTACTGCGAAAAAAATGCTAAAAAAATTCCTAGGAAAAATTGCCTAGAAAGAATATCTAGGCAAAAAAATGCTAAAAAAATTGTTGGAAAAAAATTACTAGGAAAGAGTACTTGAAGAAAAAAATTGCTAAAAAAATCACTAGAAAAATTTGCCTAGAAAGAATATCTAGACAAAAAAATGCTAAAAAAATTGTTGGAAAAAAATTACTAGAAAAGAGTACTCGAAGATAAAATTGCTAAAAAAATCACTAGGAAAATTTGCCTAGAAAGAATATCTAGGCAAAAAAATGCAAAAAAAATTGTTGGGAAAAAATTGCTAGGAAAGAGTATTGGGAAAAAATTGCTAAAAAATCCCTAGGAAAAATTGCCTAGAAAGAATATCTAGGCAAAAAATTCTTGGGAAAAAAATGCTAGGAAAAAGACTACTTGAAGGAAATTACATTATTAAGATTATTAAGTGATACTTTCATATAAGTAATAGTATTTTGGTGGCATGAGAATGATTCAACTGGGAACTTCCTATCCCATTTATAGGAACCATATTCAAATATCCTATCCCGTGTGGGTTCGTTTTCTATTAGTTCGCATTTAAAAAAGGACAATAATTCATATGACCGAAACGCTGTGTAAATATTTCAAGTTAAAAAAAAGTATCAGTCTCGGTGTTAGCGAAAAATTCTTGTTATATTTTTCTTTGTTACTTACAGTTTTATTAACAAGCTACTAAGGTCTGTTCTACACTATTTTCACTCTTTGAATTTTTCAAGAATTCCCTAATCATTTTTTCTAAACCCATAAACATTTCTACAATATTTTTTCAAAACCCTGTCCAAAGCACGTTACATTTTAATTTTTATCTGAAAAACTCCATCAAGCTTAACTAAAAAAAACGAATCCTGTCACAGCCTAAAACCGAAACTCTTCATCCCTTTATTTCATGTCTCGAGTGCCCCACGCACTCGACACCGAAAAAAGGGTTATTAGCGGAATAGCAACCCCCCTTCCTACCATGCAAACGCATACAGAACGTATAACACCACCACCGGCGCCCCAAGGGCTGACAAAAGATGATGACGGGAGTGGAAAAAAATCCGTAACGTCGCGTCGCGTCTTTTGAATTTTTATGCACACGTTTCATCCCATTGTTTCCGGCCGTGTGAGAATGTGTGCGTGCGTCTGCAAGGGCTGTAGGTGCAGGCAGAATAGGCCCTTTGATTTCTCTGAAGCAGATGAAGGGAGAGGGAGGAGGATTTTAGGCGAAAAATACTAGACTGGAGTGTTTTGGCTGGTTGGAAACAGGAAGGAGATGCGAGGAAAGGGAGTACTTAAGGGAGAAAGCAAATAGACGCTAATCACGTCGATCCTTTTGATGAGGAAGTTGAACGGGGATGTAAAAAAGGGGAGTTTTATATAGCGAGACATCTGTCAACTAAATACACTGAGAAGAAGAAAAGCGGTCTTTTACGCTGGGGTTATTTCAAACCATTTTCAAACATCAAAGTTCAAAATTGGGAAATAATACCTTAAAACATTAAAACACAAACATAATTTACACTTTCACATCACAAATAAACTTTTAACATGGAATATCTCAGAGCACTTCATATTCAGTTGCCATCATCATTGATTTTCTAGTGGGTCAATTCTATATTAGTATGGGATGATGTGCGTGCTCTAAATACATTTGGAGAATGTTACGTTAGCCTGCCTAATGGCTAAACTTCTACAGTGCTGCAAAAGTAGTTTCAGAAATGGCCACAGAACAGTGTGTGTCCAAAAAAATCCTTATGGGTTTTTCGCCACTGCACTGCAAGAAAAATCTACAAAATAAAATAGTTATTTTTTTTGTAAACACTTCTGGCGTTAAACCTAAACGGACGCTGCTTGTCAGAAGTTGTGTTTACAGTAATAAAAATTTGCCTAACAAAGAAAAAAATGCTTAACGTTTCGGAAAGTTTTCTCTTTCCGTCGTCGGAAGCAAAAAAATATAAAGAATCAAGAAAAAAAACTATTTAAAATATTTAAATTGAACTATTCGAGAACACTTTACTTTTTAAAACAGATACGTCTACAAGAAATCGTTGACGTTCTGTTAAAATGACATTATATTAAGTTAAACTTCAAAATTAACAATTACTACCTGATAATTACTTAATAAGGTAAAACCAAAGAGCCCAAATTTTCTGTATGATTATTTTTAAATTTCACGTATGTTATGTTTATTTATGTAATGTTCTTTAAAATCAAAGAAGCGATTGCCATACATTACTAACATCTAACATCTACAGATGCATGAGTAATACATTTATTTTTATTAGATTGAATTAAAAAAGGCTCTTTTCTTTTTCTTTTAGAGGCTATCGCTTCTTTCATTATAATTTTGGCGTTATTAAAATTTATTCTGTGCCCTGTGTCCCATGAATGCTGACAAATCTTAGATTTGTGAAAATCTCCCTTTCTTAAATAATCTTTATGTTCTTTAATTCTAACATTTAAGGGTCTAGATGTTTCACCAATGTAAAATTTATCGCATTCGCAGGGTATTTGGTATATTACATTTTTTTGTATTATTTCCCAATTTTGCACTTTGATGTTTGAAAATGGTTTAAAATAGCGTAAAAATGTACTATACCAAATACCCTGCCAATGCGATAAATTTTACATTGGTGAAACATCTAGACCCTTAAATGTTAGAATTAAAGAACATAAAGATTATTTAAGAAAGGGAGATTTTCACAAATCTAAGATTTGTCAGCATTCATGGGACA